TAACCGGTTAACGTTACGGTTAGAGTTTCGTGTAACCCCGTTACAAAATACATCTCAATCACCAACATTGGGGAAGAGGTGCTGATCCTGCACCAAGACCTACGGATCGGAATCTGGCTGGCTGGGGATCATGTGCCGCGAATACCGGGTTTCATATCGATCGGCTCCCGTCGCTATAAGGAGTGGCAGAATCTGGCGTTGGAAGCTACGACGGACACCCAATCCGAAGAAGTGGAGCGCGAGACCAGCGGTGGAGCGGCCCGAATATGAAACTCCGCGCACAATACTCCAAAGACCGAAGATAACATTGATCCAGTGCCGGGAAGTCGAGGCGAGTCAGGATCAAGATATTACTGACTGCTCACCTTCCGACGAGGCGCCGTCGGATAAGTCGCCGTCGGACAAGTCGCCGTCGGGGATGCGACCGTCGGATCTAGTGTCTGTCGTAAGCGAAGAGTCGGATCTATCGTCTATCGCTGACGAAGACCCCATGTCGCATGCCGTAATGATCAAGGAGGCGCTAGAAGGTCTTGATCAAGCGACGTCGGGTGCATGGGCGACTAATCCGCTGGTGGAAGAAATCATGGACGCGGAAGGACTGAAGGAAGAGGATGGTAGAGGCGCAATGGAAGATGTCAGCTTGGATCAACCATATTCGAAGGTCCAAGATCAAGGGACATTGCCGTCGAAGTGCAATGGATCAGATCTGCCAGCAATGATACGTGTGCGGCCTCGGACAGGACATGTGACTCATGATCCATCGAATGGCAAGTGTATCAAGTCTATGCCGCAGAAAACGGACATGGATCCATCACCTGTTGAGGAAGATCAAGCTGGCACATCGGACCTGGATCTTACCTGGGACTCAGATCAAGATTATGATGAGTGCGTATATTACCATGAAGGAAACGATCTATACGCCGAAGATGTCGATGGTCAGATGGCGGTGCTACCCGAAGTACCGGTGGCGACGGAAGATGTGAAGATCGAAGATATTCAACTATGCGGATCTGATAACCAGACCCCAGAAGAGATCGAGCGGCTCCGCCAAAAGATATGGAAGTTCCGACATCTCTTGAAATGCCCTGCCGCCGGCAGCTAGAGGCGTGGTGTGCGATATCGATGTCGGAGGTGCGAGGCCGATAGCCCTCAAGTGCCGTAAGTTGAGGATCCAGTTCAGGGAGAAGCTAGC